TAATTCTGCTGGGAAAACTTTTGTTTGTACAGACTAGGGTGGCTCCAGGATGACCTGGGATCAGATGAACTGGATTAAAAGATGTTGACCATTAGACTGGGGACATCTAGTGGCAGAAAAAAAGTACTGGGTGAATTTCTGGTTTGAAGGTGAATATTGTAGCAAAAACAGTTTTTTGATACTTTATCATTTAATGGGCTATACATTTTAACTAATTTTTTTTATTTCGTTTTCCTTTTAAAGTGATTTGTAAATCCATTTTTTTTAAATAACAAACATATCATACTTATCTGCTTTGTACAATTTGCAGAGAGCAGCCCTGATCATGCGGGCTCACTCCAGAGCCAGCTCTGTGTATCCATAGAACAAAGAATGCGGTCTTGCCCCGCCTCCTGCTCCCTCCTCACTGGCTTTGATTGACAGCAGCGGGAGCCGATGGCTCCCATTGCTGTCTCTGAGCCAGTGAGGAGTGCGGAGGGAGAGAGCCGAGAGAACCTCTGCCCTTGTGTATGTCGTTGGATCGTTCTCGAACTCAGGTAAGTATAAGGGGGGAGGGGGGGGGGCAACTGCATACAGAAGGTTTTTTTACCTTAACCACTTGCCCTTCAGAGGATTTACCCCCCTTCCTGACCAAGCCATTTTCTGCGACATGGCGCTGCATTACTTTAACTGACAATTGCACGGTCATGCAATGTTGCACCCAAATGAAATTAACGTTTTTCCCCACAAATAGAGCTCTCTTTTGATGGTATTTGATTGCCTCTGCATTTATTATTTCTTGCATTATGAACAATAAAAGACCGACAATTTTGAAATAAAAAACAATATTTTTTACTTTTTGCTATGACCAGTAAAAAAATTTTAAAATCAATTTCGTTATAAATGTAAGGCAAAATGTATTCTGTTACATGTCTTTACTAAACAAAATCCCAATTAATCCCAATTAATTGGGTTACATGAAAGTTATAGTGTTTACAAATGGTGGTATACATACTGTAATTTTTTTTGTTAATACTAGTAATGGCGGCGATCAGCGACTTATAGCGGGACTGTGGGACTGCGGCAGGCATTCTGACACTGAGGGGAACTAACTGCCACTGACATCCCCAGTGACACCAATACAGTGATCAGTGCTAATAAAAAGCACTGACACTGTACTAATGGAACTGGGCAGGAAGAGGTTAACATGAGGGGCAATCAAAGGGCTAACTGTGTGCTGTTTCACTGTGTGCTGTGTGAGGGATTTACACTGAGAGCACACTGCTTTGCATGGCTCTGTTATGCAGAGTCATACAAAGCAGTGTCCAGGAGCTGAGAGGGGAGAGATCTGTGTTGTTTATACACAGGTCTCTCCCCGTCTGTACTATTCGGCGATCACCGAGTGCCGGTGAGGAATCGGAGGGCGGGACCCAGAGATTGACACCTGAGGCCGCGAATGGCCTACCTGAAACTGAAAAATCATGTACATATACGTGATTTTTAACACCCAAGCCGCCCTATAGCAGTATTTCTGCTATAGGGCAGCGCAGAAGCGGTTAAAGGGGGAAACTACACTTGTCTGCTTCCTCCCCTCCTCCACTGCCATATTTGGCACTTTTTTGGGGGGAGGAGCGGGTACCTGGTTTTGACAGGTATCTGCTCCCACTTCCAGCTCAGTTCACTGTGGAGGTTTGGCCCCTCTCCTTCCCCCCCGCAGCCTTCTGGGACAGTTCACAGGTCCCATAAGACTTCGGTACCAATCTCAAGGTGACTCGCACATGTGCTGTAGGAATCTGTCTGTGAAGCCGGTTTCCCTTACTTGCAATGCTGGTGCTGGAAACCAGAAGCTAGAGAAGAACTAGCCTGGGTGAGGACAGCGCCAGACCCCTGGACAGGTAAGTATACTTATATTACAAGTCAGCAGCTTTAGTATTTGTAGCTGCTGACCTTTTTTTTTATCAGGAGCCTGGACCACCTCTTTAATGCAAAGAATGCATTAAAGTGTTACTAAACACAGGACCCTGCATTCACTATATCTGGTCTCCCCGGACCCTGCATTCACTATATCTGGTCTCCCCGGACCCTGCATTCACTATATCTGGTCTCCCCGGACCCTGCATTCACTATATCTGGTCTCCCCGGACCCTGCATTCACTATATCTGGTCTCCCCGGACCCTGCATTCACTATATCTGTTCTCCCACAGTACACACAGCATGGAAATGCAATTATTTTAGTAAATATAAACTGCTAAATACCTTTTCTCATCAGCAGTCTTGTGACTTCAGCAGAGCACTGGCTAAAGCCTGTAGGAGGAGTTTTCTTTCTGCTCTAGGAGGATGTGAAACCTCTGACCCTCTGTCTGGACAGTGCTGATTGGCCCTATGTTGATCACATGCACCCTCCCAAGAAAAAAAAAACTATCTAGCAATACACACCAAACTGAGCATGTGCATGTGACTACGGATTCAGTCTGTATCAGGTGGACATTTCAACAAGAGAAGGAGCAGAGAAGACAGGATCAAACAGCCTCTTCACACAATGTAGAGGAATAACCCCTTAGGTTCCACAGTGAGTATAACAACCATGCTTTACTGCATATACAGACTGATTTTACTGTTGTGGGTTTAGTAACACTTTAAGGTTAAAAGAAACCTTCAACCTTTAGAGCCTCATTAGGCTGAACTCCGGGGAAAAAACAAATATGGTCTAAATACAGATGTATTTAAATCTTTGTACTTGAATCTTGGTGTGCTTTGTATATTTCTTCCAGATCTATTCAGTAATCCAGTGGGAAGCTTTGCCTTTGTGCTGAAGCTTCTTGTAATAAAGACCGGTCACTACTGCTCTCTCTCATTGTGCAGGTGACTGGTCTTGTCTCCGCCGTCTGCTGTTTTTGTAGTGTGAGGAGCCTGCTGGGCCCCTCCCACACCTCTGCTATCTGCACAGCCTACGTCGAGCACAGGGATGTTGTCACTGCCACTTTTACAAAATCATATCTGAATTTGAAAGGACATTAAGAACATATAAACTGGATTTATATCCTTTGTGGCTTTCAAGGAATATACTTTATATGTAAATGAAAGAATATGTGTCCGGAGTTCAACTTTAACTATTTGCCTGGAGTTAGGATTAAGTGGATTTCAGTAGGACTCGGCTTTCAAAGCAGCAGTTCTAAATTTACATAATATGAGGTCATCTGGGCTTCATTGTAATTGGCAGTGCTGGTGCATTGAAGGATATTTATAAATCTGCCCCTCACAGCTGAGGATACATTTCTAATTCTCAGTTATGGATAAAGAGGTTGTTCTGCCCACTTTCATGTATTTTATATGTGTTGTATTGAACTGCATTAGGTTAACAGTTTTCTGTATTATGCTGACATCTACTGGCAGTTCTGGGCAACTACTTTACAGTGTGATTTTGGTTATCTTCCTTTGTCCTCCCCTCCGGTTTAGTGCTAGTTGGTTTAGTCCTAGTTAGACCCTCTCCTCTTACTCCATGTTCTCTCACTCAGTCTTCAGAGAGACAGGGCTCAGGAAAGTCAATGTCATCTTATACTTTAAAAGACTGGAAAAACATCCATTAGTTGAAGCAAAATTGCATTGGATTCTGCTTCTTTGTCTCACTGAAGAGTTAAGCTGCTTGTGGATGGTGCCATGTCAGCAGGTGACCATACTTTCCAGACAGGCTGGCTCTAAGAACGTATGTTAATGCATAAAGCGGAATTTGAAACATGCATTTTGTGTAATGGCTAGTTTGCCCTGAGATGAGCTTCAAGGTTCCCATCTTACAGACACAGGGGAAGAGCTTCCAGATCTTCCTATGGAAATTGCTAAATATGCAGCAGGGGGTTAAATCGCCCCAAAACGTAAAAAGGGGGGGGTGGAGTTGCACTTTAAAATTCTCCTTTTTCACCATAAAATTCCTCAGCATTTTTAAAGCACATTACCACTGGCTCTCTGACACTCCCTGAAAAATTACAGCATTATATCTTCTGATAGAACATTTTTTGTTCCTTGCCAAAGGCAATTTAGCTGTTTTGGAATTTAAATACTATATGGCATTTGTATAGAAAGTGGTGAACTTGTCAGTGCAAAAGTTCTTGCAAAAAAAAAAGTCCCAAAAGCTGGGATTTAGATGAATATTTCAGACAAGGCTAAATTTAAACCTCCCGTGTACTCATATCAATCAACATCTTAAAGAAGAAGGAGATATTCTGCCTCTTACCTTTCAAGGTCAATGAAGGGTTATGTAAATCAGAGAATGCATACTTGGAGAAGTGCATCGGAGGGGCGCATAGCTTTTATCATTACAAATCTTCTCATTAATTTTGTCCCTTTTCCTCTAGGAGAGATTCCCATATGAGCTCCATTTTGCCAGCAAAAAAATACTCCTTATAAGAATTTTTTTTAATATTCTTTCTAAAGCTATAAAAATATAAATAAAGGCAGCTCTGTAATCATTAATATATCATTGGTTTTTTTTATTTGTTTAACCGCTAGCCTACAGGGCACTTATACCCCCTTCCTGCCCAGGCCAATTTTCCAGCTTTCAGCGCTGTTGCACTTTGATTGACAATTGCGTGGTCATGCAAAACTGTACCCATATGAAATTTTTCAAATTTTTTGTGACAGATAGTGCTTTATTTTGGTGGTATTTAATCACCTCTGGATTTTTATTTTTTCTTAAACAAACCAAAAACCACTGAAAATTTTTTTCTAAGTTTTTGTTATAAAATTTGTAAATAAGTGATTTTTCTCCTTCACTCATGTGCGCTAATGCGGGTGCAGTGATGGGCACTGATAGGCTGCACTGATGGACACTAATAGGTGGCACTGATGGGCACTGATGAGGAGGCACTGGTAGGTGGCACTGATGGGCACTGATGAGGAGGCACTGGTAGGAGGCACTGATGAGGAGGCACTGGTAGGTGGCACTGATGGGGCATTGACAGGCATCACTGATGGGCACTGAAAGGCAGCACTCATATATGGCACTGATAGGTGGCACTGACTGGTACTGATAGGCAGCACTGACTGGCACTGTTAGGTGGCACTGACTGGCATTGTTAGGCTGCACTGATAGGCAGCACTGACAGGCACTGATAGGCGGCACTGATGCACATTGATAGGCAACACTGACTAGCACTGATAGGCCGCACTGACTGGCACTGGCACTGATTGGCAGCACTGATAGGTGGCACTGACTGGCATTGATAGGTGGCACTGACTGGCACTGATGGGTGACACTGAAAGGCAGCTCAGATGGGCACTGATATGTGACATTGATGTGGCACTGAAATGTGGCACTGATGGGCACTGGCAGGTGGCATGGATGGGCACTGAGAGCTGGCACTGATGGACACTGACAGGTGGCGCTGCTGGGGCTACACAGATCATTAGGGCACACTGATCATCAGTGCTCTGATGATCTGTGTACATGTCCCCTCCGAGGAATGCCGATTACCGGTTGTCCCTCGAGTCTCAGCTCGAGAGGAGAGAAATGCCGATAACCAACATTTCCCTGTTTACATGTGATCAGCTGTGATTGGACACAGCTGATCACATAACAGAGCCGACATCTTCAGCTCTTTCTGTGGATCTGTGATCTGCTGTGTCTGAGGGACACAGCGCACCGCCATATGACGTCCTCCCAGAACGAGAGAACCACCTAGCGTCCGTCATATTACTATATGGCGGGCAGAATGCGGTTAAATCAAGCAGTGTAAGTACCATAATGTACAATACAGTGGTTAAGTGGTTATCTCTTCTGCCTAGGAGCACTAGGGTCATTGGTTCAAAACCCAACCATGGCACTACCTGTGTGAAGTTTGCAAGTTCTCCCTGTGCATGTGTGAGTTTTGTCCCACACTCCAAAGACATGCTGGGAGGTTAATTGGCTCCTATCTAAATTAAGCCTAGTTTTTGTATGTATGAATGTGAGTTAGGGACCTTAGATTGTAAGCTCCTTGAGGGTTAGGGACTGATATGAATGTATAATATATGTAAAACACTGCATAAAATTGGCGGTGCTATATAAATACCTGTAATAAAAATAAAGTGAAGGGCGGGGGTAATACACTATATTGCCAAAAGTATTGGGCCAGCCCTCCAAATCATTGGATTCAAGTGTTCCAATCACCTCCATGGCCATAGGTGTATAAAATAAAGCACCTAGACATGCAGACTGCTTCTAAAAACATTTGTGAAAGAATGGGTCACTCTCAGGAGCTCAGTGAATTCAAGCGTGGTACCGTGATAGGTTGCCACATGTGCAAATCCATCCGTGAAATTTCCTTCCTACTAAATATTCCACGGTCAACTGTTAGTGGTATTAGCACAACAACAGTGCACAGAGAGCTTCATGGAATGGGTTTTCATGGCCGAGCAGCTGCATCCAAGCTTTACATCGCCAAGTGCAATGCAAAGCGTCGGTTGCAGTGGTGTAAAGCACGTCGCTACTGGACTCTAGAGCAGTGGAGACTGGTCTGTTCTCTGGAGCGACGAATCACGCTTCCCTGTCTGGCAATCTCATGGATGTGTCTGGGTTTGGCATTTGCCAGGAGAACGGTACTTGCCTGATTGCATTGTGCCAAGTGTAAAGTTTGGTGGAGGAGGGATTATGGTGTGGGGTTGTTTTTCAGGGTTTGGACTTGGCCCCCTAGTTCCAGTGAAGGGAACACTTAAGGCATCAGCATACCAAGTCATTTTGGAGAATTTCATGCTTCAAACTTTGTGGGAACAGTTTGAGAATGTCCCATTCCTGTTCCAACATGACTGTGCACCAGTGCACAAAGCAAGGTCCATAAAGACATGGATGAGCAAGCTTGGGGTGGAGGAACTTGACTGGCGTGCACCTCAACCAAAGAACACCTTTGGGATGAATTAGAGCAGAGACTGCGAGCCAGGCCTTCTCATCCAACATCAGTGCCTGACCTCACAAATTCACTTTTGGAAGAATGGTTAAACATTCCCATAGACACCCTCCTAAACCTTGTGGACAGCCTTCCCAGAAGAGTTGAAGCTGTTATAGCTACAAAGGGCGTGCCAACCCAACATTGAACCCTACGGACTAAGACTGGGATGCCATTAAAGGTCATCTGCGTGTAAAGGCAGGCGGACCAATACTTTTGGCAATATAGTGTATTTTAGGCTAGGGGGTGTTGGTGACATCTTTTGAAAACCTCATATGTAATAATGACGTGGGAGGAGAAAGCGTAAGCAGTAAAAATGTGTGTGTGTGTGGGGGGGGGGGGGGGGGGGGCAGGGTACTGGAAGGGGAGAAATTATGGGTTGGATGAGCTTGGGATAGAGAATACTAGGAAGAAGAAAAGAAGAGGGCAATCAAAACCTTATACTCTTTTTACTTGAGTAAGGTATGGATAAGCCCTGCATCATTTTTGTGTTTTGTGGTATGTTGTTTGGTTTTTTTTTTGCTGTCATGACCTATTAGGTAGAATTTTCTTCAATTTTTGTTGAATATGTACAACAGGAAGTGAGCGGAAATCGTTTCAACTTAAAAGAAACCCCTATTTAGACAGTTGTCCCTGAAACATGTGTCCTGTTCCAGTTGACAACTCAGCATTTTAGGATGACTCTCCCAAGTTGGGACACAGATAGATAACAATAAAACTGCCAAGGGTTCTATTCAAAAAGAGAATATTTTGGCTTTGGATGCACTTTAATTAATCCATCTGAAGGAGCTGCTAAAAAGCATGTGTAGAGCTCACTCCTGAAGAGGCCGCTGAGAATGTTCCCAGGTCTCCCACAATAGTACAGAGGCTGCCAACTCCCGAAGAGGCCGCTGAGAATGTTCCCAGGTCTCCCACAATAGTACAGAGGCTGCCAGTCACACAAGCTCAGTCCCATGCATACTAGCAATTCAGGCTCAGTTTAGGGGATATCTTTTTAGTATTTATTGCTGAAGAACTTTAACATGAGAGATGTTTAGGGTCACCAAATACTCCAAACCCGATCAGTAGCAACAATAGGAGGACAAACTTCTGTCTCTTCCAAAAGCAGCTTTTCTGGAGGTAGCAGGGAATGGCCAGTATATCTAGGACCCTACTGCAGATGTGGCCATTCCCTTCTGGCACTTGCTCATAGTGTCTCAGGAGCTGTTTGCCACCCAGCATTAACAGGTAGTTCCATAGTGAGAGAGATAACAAGTACTTTCTCCAAACACCTAAGACTTTGGTAGAGTGCCTTCCAGCAAATGTCATCCTTAGGCAGTCTTCCTTAGGCCGATATCCCAGCAGCTTCCGAGGCCCAGACTGTCTTTTGTCTCTCTATCTCCCAAGGGCAACAGCCCCTCAGACAACTGAAACTCTCCTTTGAGAGAAAAGAACAATGTGCTCAAGCCTCATTCACATTTATCACCTCCCTAGCCACCTTCTGAATGCCTCCTTCCAGGGATTGGCTGGGGCATGATAAATATTCAACTGATCATTTGAATCTCACAGACCCATGTTCTGGAAACTTTTATCAGAGGCAGGTGGGTTTAATCAAACTCTAAGCTCAGGAAAACTCTGATCAGACCAACACAATCAATCACTGCTCCATTCACTACAATGGAGCCAAAAAAGAAACCTACCTAGCACCCTAACTAGAAGTGGGTGCTACAAATGTAGGCAGTGGTTTTTTAGGAGAGAATGAAGCCTGTAGTATGCTGGCCATTGCAGTCTGATTGTCCAATATTTTTTGGATCTCCCAACTACTGTATGTACTGTAATGCTCCCAAACCCTGTGGAAGTCAATAGAGTCACAAGCCCAGGAACAGTTAAAATCAAAATTCATTTTAACTGGGAGTAAAAAGCATGGCATGTAGGAGTGCCCAGAATGATACATCACCAAGCCAGTGGAGAGGAGAAACACGTTTCCAGAAGCTGGAGGATGACACATGATCCTGGAACCAACAGTTGGTTGTTTAGTTCAGGAGCCTCAGGACAGTGGGCAGGGTGTGTGGATGGCAACTGCTGGGATCACTAAGATGGTACATCTGCTGGAAGTCACGTGTTCCAGATCTGGCTGTTATGTCATGCACCTGGCGACAGACCACCTGAACAACGGCTAGTGAGGGCAAACTAGAAGCCTAGGGGAGCACTCAAACCATGTCATGACATGATCTGAGGAAGGGGCAAGTCCCTGAAACATGTTATCATGTTCTCTTCTTTGGTTTGACATGGTTTGATTGCTCCCCGAGGCTTCCAGGTTGCCCTCACCAGCCCTTGTTTAATGGACGTGCCATCTTAGGCTGCGTTCACACTAGCTTTGTCAGCAGGCGTCAGACAGGCGTTTGTGAAGCGTTTTTAATGCTTCTCAAATGCCTATGAAAATTCTGCACATGGCAGCACACAGTGCTGTTCGCACGGAAGCGATTGCGGCAAAACTGAAGCCTCGGGTCCAGTCAGGAGGAGTTGAAGCCTCCCATTCAAGTCTATGGTGCCACTCCACAAATGCCTGGCATGCGTGTGCAGTTGTGAGGTGTTTGCGGAGCGTTAAAACCATTTAACTTCATTATAGGAGTTCGTGGTGTGGTTTTAACGCTTGGCAAATGCCTATCAACCACCTCAAAACCGCGCATAGGGTGTTTGGGGAGCGTTTAAGGAGCGTTAAAAACGCTTCACAAACGCCTGTCTAACGCCTGTCAAACGCTATAGGGGCATTTGGCAAGAGTTAGAAATAAAGTCAAGTGTGAACGAGCCCTTAGTGATCCCAGCGGCTGCCATCCACACACCCTCCTGAGCTGAGCAACCTACTGTTGGGTCCAGGATCATGTGTCATCCTCCAGCTTCTGGGAATATGTGTTTCTCTTCTCCACTGGCTTGGTGATGTATCAATCTAGGCACTCCTACATGTCATGCTTCTTAACCCAACATTAAAATGAATAAAATGAATTTCAATTGAGACTATTCCTGGGCTTGTGACTCTATTGACTTCCACAGAGTTGGGAGCGCTCCATTATTTGTTTTTTTGTGCTCATGTCTCATTGCTGGTCAGATGAGTTGTTGGAGCTGCCCATACTGTGGTTATCTAAATATCCCCTGGAACCTCTGTGCACTTCGTATTTGCAACTTTTTTATGTACGGTAATGACCTGCCCGATTGGATAGATTGTTTAGGTAGGGGTCTCAAATTGCATAGTTCTGGTGAGTGCTGGGGCAGGTTCTTCAGGCACCCAAGGTGAGAACATTGAGGTGCACCCTTTAAAGTGTTACTAAACCCACACAAGTAAAATCAGTCTGTATATGCATGCTTGTTATACTCACTGTGGAACCTCAGGGTTAATCCTCCACATCATGTAAAAAGGCTGTTTGACCCTGTCTTCTCTGATCCTCCACTTCTTCTACTGTCCCAATTCATCTGCTGATAGTACAGT